GCGCGTGCCTGTAATCCCAGCTACTCAGGAGGCTGAGGCAGGAGAATTGCCTGAACCCAGGAGGCGGAGGTTGCGGTGAGCCGAGATCGCACCATTGCACTCCAGCCTGGGCAACAAGAGAGCGGAACTCCGTCTCAAAAAAAAAAAAAAAAAAAAAAACTCCAACTGCTTCCTACCAATACGGATTCCTTCTCTGGGTCCCCTCCCATGACTGCATAGGAGCTGTCTTTCTCTTGGTCTCTGTTTAATAAATTGCTTTTCTGCAAAACTCTTTGGGTCCTTGAACGGAAAACTCACTGCGCCTCCAGGGCCCCTTTCCCCATTTTTCTGTGTTAGCGAGGCTAAGAACCTCTTCAGAACTGGGAGCTGAGTACCCTCCCCGGTTACACCAGGAACTATGTTAAACCCTTCACTCACACGAATGCATTTAATCTTCCCAATAACTCTTTAAGGCAGATCTTTTTATTGCTCTCATTTTGCAGATAAGGAAACTGAAGAAAATCAAAGAGATTAACCAGTTCCATTCTGGTTTGTCAGCAGGCAAGTGGTAAAGATGGGATTCAAGTTCACAGCAGGCAATCTTAATTAGTCCCAAAAGCCTTCATGCAACTTTCCATTTTGGTCTAAAATTTTCATGAGAGAGACAGTAGTTATGTGTACATAAAAAAGCAAACACTACTGTGAGTTTCTTTATACAGACACAAATTTAAAGATAATTCTGAAGTCAAATATTGCACCTTGTTTGTGGCCTTGGTTTGTCTCTTGGCCAGCCAAAGTACTTTCTATACTAATAACAGCCACGCTTGATATTCTGTCTCTCTTCATTCTTTTCTCTGAAAACGTTAATTCTTAGAAGAAATAATTTTGAACTTGGCAGTGTGGACGTGGGAGGAAAGGGAGCAAGGTGGGAAGGAAGGAGAATGGGGAGGGTCAGCAAGATGTTTAAAAAGCTGTGTTCTGGAAGCCCTCTCTTGAATAAAGCTACAGATTGAACATCTCTCTTATCCAAAATGCTCAGAACTTAGAAGTGCTTCAAGTTTTAGATTATTTTTGGATTTTGGAATATTTGCATTATTATCAGTTGAGCATTCCTAACAGAAAAATCCAAAGTGATTCAATGAGCATTTCTTTTGTGGCTCATGTTGGCACTCAAAAAGTGTCACATTTTGGAGCATTTTGGATTTTCAAATTAGGGATACTCAACCTGTACTTAGTCCCCAGTGAAGCTACTAAAGGTTTTTTAATCTCATGAAATGCTTGGTATAAGAGTCCAAGCCTCATATCAAGTCACCACAAGGTAAAACAGACACCAGCAGAAGAGGATGTGGGAGCACAGAGAGAGATACAAGAAAGCTCAGGAATCTAGCAGAAGTCTAAAGCAGAGCTTTGGGCTATTTGGGGAATCTGTGGCCAAACCCACTTCAATCAGATCTATAAGCAGGCAATGGGTCCTTGGCTAACAGTGGGGTTATACATTCATGTAATGAAATTTAAATCATCTCCTAGTAGAATGCCTATTAAAATGACTGATACACTATGTGTTGCCAAAGATGTGATGTAAGGGGAACTCTCACACACTGCTGATAAGAATGAAATATGGTACAGGTACTTTGGAAGAGTTTGGAAGTTTCAAATAAAATTCAACAAATGCCTACCACACAACTTAGGAATGATCCTTCTACGTGTTTACCCAAAAGATGTAAAAGCATAAGTCCACACAAAGATCTGTATGTAAACACTGACAACAGCTTTTTTTCCATAATAGACACAAACTGAAAATAACTCAAATGTTTACCAGCTGTTGAATGCATAAACAAATTGTGGTGTATCCATACCATGGAATAAGTCACTCAGCAATAAAAAGGTACAAACTACCTTTACATCCAACAGTAGGGCTGAATCATACACTTATTAGGCTAAGTGAAAGAAGGTAGATACAAAAGACCACATACTGTATGATTCCATTTAAATGACATTCTAGAAAAAGCAAAACAATAGTGACGAAAAGCAGATCAATGCTCGTCAGGATTTGGGGTTAAGGGAGGAGGAGGATGAGATCAACTGCAAGGGGTGCACAGGAATATTTGAGGCGACAGAGTGTTCTCCACGTTGATTGCAGTGGTGGTTACATGATCAAATATGCATTTCTCAAAATTCTTCTAATTGTACACTTAAGCTGTAATTTATACAATATAATTTACATACAATAAATTATATTGTATGTGTATTAGTCTGTTCTCACACTGCTATGAAGAAATACCTGAGACTGGGTAATTTATAAAGGAAAGAGGTTTAATTGACACACAGTTTCTCATTGCTGGGGAGGCCCCAGGAAACTTACAATCATGCCAGAAGGTAAAGGAGAAGCAAACACCTTCACATGGTGGGAGGATGGAGTGAATATAAGTAGGTGAAATGCCAGATGCTTATAAAACCATCAGATCTCGTGAGACTCACTCACTATCATGAACAGCATGGGGGAAACCGCCCACATGATCCAATTACCTCCACTTGGTCCCCACCTTGATATGTGGGGATTATGGAGATTATAATTCAAGGTGAGATTTTGGGTGGGGACACAGCCAAACCATATCACTATGTAAATTATATCTCAATATAGCTGTGGGTTTTTTTAAAGCTATTTTTTATTTAATTTAAATCATCCTCAATGGCAGTCATAATACGGAATAATGTATATTCTGAGGATACTTTCTGATAGAAGGGGCCATCCTACTCACTTATTCCTAGTGACTCTGTTGCATTTTCATCAGTTTCCCCAATCCTGACTGTTGGAGAAATTGTTCATGCCATATAGAAAGAGAAGCTTAATCACGGCATGATTCAAGCTGAATCCCTTTGCCAGTACAAACTTGTTTTGGGGGGCCAACGATTTTAAAGTATACTTAATAACTAAAAGCTGAACATTGTCTTCCTAAGTGCACTGAACGTTGTCTTAAGTGCACAGAATCATAGTCTATGGTTTATAACTAGGCCTGCCAGATAAAATATGAGTTCGGATAAACAATAAATATTTTATTAGTTTAATGATGTCCCAAATAATGCATGGGACAATTTTTTTTTAATTTGATATACCTAACAACTATATTAATAACACTATAATAATCAGTCCACGTATGGCCTTTTCATTTTTATTTACTCATTCACATACTTAGTAAATTAAACTTATTAATTAATCTCATGTCATTGCTGCAGGCATGTTTAGTTGCTATTGCTGGAACTCCCCCTTTTTAAGAAACCATGTGGGAACTCTAAGGCACTGAGAATGACTACTGAGAAATAACTGACTTAGGACCATGTAAATTAAATTGGGATTAGAAGACTCAGGTCATCATCAACTTGGTACTTGTTGGAAAAGAATGTCAGGTTCTACCCAGACCTACTGAATTCAGAATCTGCAGTTTAACAAAATCCCCAGGTTATTCCTATGCACAACACAGTTTTAGAAGCCCTGATTTAGAAAGCTGTGTTTTAGGCAAATTCCCAGGGCAGTGATATGTAAAATAGATTAAAGGGAAATTGACTTCAAGGATAGAAACACCTTACAAGAACATTTAAAAAGTTCAGGCATTACTTCAAAATCTTAATCATAGTGCAGGTAGCACAAATAAAAAGAAAAAAATATTGAAATCAGAAACATTCTAATGAAAAATATCAACGGGGTTTGATGATAGACTAGATGGAAGGAAAATAAATGTGAGAATTTGAATATAAATCAAGTAGAAGCACTTCTAATATGATTAGCAGTGGTCCCAACCTTGGCCACACATTTCAGTCATTTGGGAGCTTTAACAAATGCTGATACCTGGGTCCCAATCTCTGAGATTCTGATTTAAGGTGAAACCTTGGCACCAGAATTTTTAAATGCTATACCTGATAGCTGGTAAAACATTATTTCCGCATGTGTCTGTGAGGGTGTTCCCAGAAGAGAATCAGTAGACTGAGTGAAAAAGATTCTCCTTCACCAATGTAAGTGGGCATCATCCAATCCATTGAAGACCCAGACAGAACAAAAAGTCAGAGAAAGAGCATATTTTGCTCCTTTTCAGAAGCAGGGACATCCATCCTCTCCCTCTTCTGAGACAACAGAACTTCGAATACTCAGATCCTTGGACTCCAGGACTCACACCAGCAAACCTCCCAGTTTCTCAGGCCTTCAGCCTCAGACTGAATTACACCACAGGCTTTCCTCATTCTCCAGCTTGAAGATGGCAGATTGTGGGACTTCTTGGTCTCCATAACTACATGAGCTAATTCCCATAAATAAATCCCCTCATATATCTACATACATCCTATTGATTCTGTTTCTGTGGAGAACTCTGATTAATACAATTGGTAATCTTTTAGACTTTTCCAGTTGGTTGTAATACACAGTCAGGATTGAGAATGCTAAATTGAAATATTCAGTTTAACTGATATTTTATTAACTCTTTTTTCCAAATAAGTGTAAAATGAAGAGGCAACTCAGTGCTAACAGAATCCAAGTCTTCTAGATAGAGGAAATATAAACTAACATATTTTCATTTGCCTGTTAAAATTTCAAATTGAAATTTACATAATTAGAGTTAGCTATGATTTCCATTTTTTTCAAAACCTCAGTTTGAATGAAATCAGTTAATGACCATTGTAGTTGGATGAACATTTATGAATATTACCCATAAGCCTAAAACATAATATGCAATAAATTGATTCCAATCACAACCATAATTACATATCTTAAGATAGAATAAGGTCTTCAGGAAGAGGGGAAGTAGAATATGACATGCATAAAATTTATTTCCAAGTCAACGACTATAGTGATTATCAGAATTAGGTCCTATAACTAAAACCTAACTAAAAAAAAATCAAGGAGAACATTTAAGAACTTTATAGATAATTTGTCACTAAAGCATTATTTCATATACATGCAAAGTAAATATAAAAGATTTTTCAAAAAGAAAATTATTTCCAATGACCTTTTATAAAATGGAAAATTGGCTTACCTCTTCCCTATGATTCTTAATTGGCATACAAAGAATGCTTTGTGTCTTGTAACCTGTAATTTGGTCAACTTCTGCATTGAACCGAGGATCCTAGTATGGAAAAAGAAATTCAATTTAATGACTGACCTGTTCAAAGATTGATTCGATTTTTCTGATTTATTAGATTAGAGAAATCTAACCTTGGACTTACCTTGTTACTCCGAGTAATAATTTTATCGTTGTGAAAGGCATCATCATGTAACTACATATCATATTTGTCAAAGATAAATCTAAGTCACTGAGTTTTTTTTTAAGCAGCTAGTGTTTATGAGAAAAAAAATAGACTCGAACAAATATTCAGAAATAAAGAAAATTCAAAATATTAACCACTTTAGAAAGCTGTACTTAAATTCAGGAAAAAGTGGCATCTCTCCATCTCTGTAATACAATCTCACAGCCTGATTCTATTGTGCCTCCAGAACAACCTTTTCACTAAATGACTTTACTTCCCTTGTAAGGGCTCTTTTACAGTTTCTCAGTATTCTGTACTTCTACCTCAAGTATACATAAGAATTTAAATTATACATACATATATATATATATATATATATATACAATCTGATTGAGTCAGATTATAAACAATCCTTTAATCTTTTGAATTTCCCCTTTTACAGGGCACACTATACACATCCAATAATCATAAATAACTTCTGAGGTGTAAAATTTTTAAGTATGAATTAAAGAACAAAGGTAAAGTTTAAATTTTGATTAAACTTTAGATTGGGAAGATCTAAAATTATGCTGTAAACTCTATGAAGGTTTTTTTTTTTGGATTCAATTCTGTATTCTTAGCACAGGAACTCAGTCAAAAGCATGTGTTAAATCAATGAAGAAATTCATTCGCAAATAATACCACAGTTATCCAATGTGATCATTTTTACCTTACCATATAGTTTTAAGCAAATCTTGTCAATAAAGGGAAAACGAAAGTAGAGAAAATCAACAGCTACAACTACATGAGGTAAGAGTGGAATGGAAACAAGCATTCCAGGACACAAACATCTGAATGAGTGCTATTCCCTTCAAAGCAATAGCCTTGGGGAGTTACATGCTAGACCTAATAATAGCATCACTGCTCCAAAAACTCCGCAGTTGGAATTCCCTTCAGAGAATATGGAATATCCACACTGGAAAAGCTCATCCTTTGATGAACTTTGAAGGTCATTTCTTTTTAAAAAATAAAAATAAATTAGTCACAGTCAAGCCGTGAATGAAGTAAGTGATTACACTAGATTCCATCAATTGGGGTCAGAAATGAGGCCAATTTTCTCCTGAGAGGGCCAAACTTAGCTTACAGATAATTTCAAAAGAAAAGTTACAAAATGGTGAAAAATCAGCATAAATATTTGTGAGAGATGGGAAAGTTCTTCTTCAAAGTTATATCTGAGACTACATTATAAGGAGTTACAATCTGTGGCCATTATCCACTATTAGCAAAAACATATACCAATGTATATATATTCTCTAAATCAGCTACTTCTTAAATCAGCTACCTTGACTCGCTCTGGCATATCTGAACAGAACTGGGCAACCTCCAAACCCTGGTGCATGCCATACCTTATTTGAAAACCTTCCTGACCTTCTCCTGAGTAGCTTCCTCTTTTTCCTTGTCTTCCTCCTCATCTTCTTTTCCCTTATCTATTCAGGAAATTTCCAAGTTTTTCCCACCAATCAGGTCAAGCATAGAATGTGAGGTCCCATTCCAGCCAATGGAAACGGGACACAGTAGTAAGGCGATTGCCTCAGGTTATGAAAGTTATAAATGTCCCTGTCTCCTTGTTCAGATGTGCTCTCATGGCAAGACTGCAGGGGAGTTGCACCCTTTCCGCAGGAAGTAAACTAGCCTTGCTGAGTTATCCGTTATCCATTGTCCCGGTGTGGATTTTTCCCTGAGGTTATAAATCCCTTTCGAACAATATTTTACATTATAAACACTACTGCATTTTTGTTTTTTTCTGTAAATATTTTCAAAGTTATATGAATTGAGTGGCAGAGAAAACCTTAGCTGAATCTTCCTAATAAAATTTTTATCTTCAGATATTGTCTAAAGAAAACAGACAAGATAATGATATTGACGAATTAAAGAAGTAAAAATTCGATATATAGTGAATTATTTTAAAAACAGTAAGTAAAATATGAATAAAAATACATGCTCAGTGTTACGTTGTTAATAAATATTTGAATTATTAGACAATTTATAAAGAAGAAGACTTAACCCAACTACCTAATCAAAGCAGTAAAGTCTGACAGATGAAAATTAGTAGGACTTTTACATCTTTTTTGTGTCTACTCTTAATTTGAAATCAACGACAGTTGTGGATTTCACTCTCTGGTGAAGCGGGTAGGAATAAATATATCCTTCAAATTTCATTTGAAATGAATTTCCAAAATCCTGACATCTCAAAGAGTTCTCCTTTAATAATGTACTCAGTGTAAAGACAATACACATAAAGGAGTTCTAACCCCACTAGGTCCAGTAAACACCAAAACAAAAAATGGAAAACTACAATCATTATGATTATTCCTTTCACTGTTTATGAGAACATGACAGTATGAAAGAAATCAAAACTTGGATGTCCACTTGCCATAACAAAGTATCGGGTACCAGTATTCCTTCCTGCTGAAGACAGCTATAAGACTTGATCTGCCATGAGCAGATCAAGGAGAAAGACACATATGTCATTGCCATTCAACAATCTGGCTTCTGCCTGAGGGCATTTTCCTGCTTTAGAGAAGGCGGGTGCCTTTCTTATTCCATATATGTATATATGATATATATATATGAAATATATATATGATATATATATGAAATATATATATGATATATATATGAAATATATATATGATATATATATGAAATATATATATGATATATATATGAAATATATATATGATATATATATGAAATATATATATGATATATATATGAAATATATATATGATATATATATGAAATATATATATGGTGTATATATATATGAAATATATATATGGTGTATATATATATGAAATATATATATGGTATATATATATGAAATATATATATATATGGTATATATATATGAAATATATATATGGTATATATATATGAAATATATATATGGTATATATATATGAAATATATATATGGTATATATATATGAAATATATATATGGTATATATATGAAATATATATATGGTATATATATGAAATATATATATATGGTATATATATATGAAATATATATATATGGTATATATATATGAAATATATATATGGTGTATATATGAAATATATATATGGTGTATATATGAAATATATATATATGGTATATATATATATATATATATATATATATATATATATGGAATAAGGAAGCCTAGTCCTTCATTTTTGGAGAAGGAAACACCCAACAGAGAATACAAGAAAAATAATGCATCTTTAGTTGTTGGATGAAATTGGAACTATCAGTATGAATCATTTGTTTTTAATATAATAAGTAGATAATAACAATAATATAATAAGTAGATAATAAGTAGATACAATAAGTAGATAGATGTAGAAATAAATAAAATATAAATGTGTATGTATATTTATATGTTATTTTCCTATCTCTGTTTGCCAGTATACCAGCAGCAATAAGCACATCTAGTGTCTTGATCTTGGTTTCTTAGTACCATTCACCCCACTAAAAGAAACCAGGGCTCCTTGGGAAAAAAGAATGATTCTAGGTCTAGGACAGGGAAAGTCTAAGATAGGTCTCAAACATTCTGATTAGCCAGAAAGTGAAAAAATGCCCCAAAAGTAATGAGGACATAATAAAAAGACACAGGAGTCAGTAAATTTGTTATAGTTTGAATATCAGCATAAAGACAATAAGAGATCATAATTCACTAAAAAAAAGATTAATCCATGAGTCCATAATAATGTGAATGAATGAATGAATGAGAAGGCAAAACTCTCCCTTATATTAGAATTTCAGCTAACAAATATAAGAGGTATGATGGAGTTGGAAAATCACTGGATGCTAAAACTGGGAACAGAGTATTTACACAGTCTCAAAGTATCTGCCCATATGATTAATTATTATTAATTATTAATCCCATATGTACTTATTAATTACAATGGGAAAAACTGTACCTTTATACTGGAGAAACCAGGTGGATATCACTTTTAAAAAGTTATGAAATTTAACATCATCAATACTTACATCACATAAATATGCCTCATAATTAAACATGTTTCTGGTCTTTGTCCGCAGTTTCTGACATAGACCTCCTAAAGCCCATGGGATTTCTTGAGTGATACTAGTGTATTTTGACATTTGCAACAAGCCGTTTTTAACCATACTCAAATTCAGACTAATGAGGTGAGCCCTAAAAAGCTTCAGGATTGGGACTGGGAATCAGAAAATGCAACCTTGTGATTAGAGGTTTAGAACTTCCAGTCCCACCCCCAACCTCTGGAGATGGGAGACAGGCTGGAGATTAAATCCACTCACCAATGGCCAATAATATAATCAATCACCCTTCCATAATGAAACCTCAATAAAAAGTTCAGAACAATGAAGTCTGGGGGAGTTTCCAGGGTGATGAACATATCGATGTGCTGGGATGGTGGGATTCTAGAGACAGCACCCTCACCTCCCATACCTTGCCCTATGCATCTCTTCCATTTGGCTGCTCCTGAGTTGGAACCTTCTAAATAAAACTGTAATCATAAGCGTAGTGCTTTCTTGAGTTCTGTGAATTATTCTATCTAATTACGGAACCTAAGTGGGGCTCGCACTGGAACCCTTGAATTGGTAGTTAGCCTGGAAGAAGTGTGGTTGTCTAGGGATCCCAATCGTGGCTGACATCTGAAGTTGGAGCAGTCTTGTGGGACTGAGCCCTTAACATGTAGGATCTGTGCTAACTCCATGAAGTTAAGAATCAGAACTGAATTGAGTTGCAGGACACTCAGCTAGTGTCAAAGAATTGGAGAATTAATTAGTTGTTGTTTAGTTAAGATGTCAACATTAACGTCTATGGTATTCCAGCTAAAAGGGCTTAGCCTGAATCTATTTGTGAAGGACATTCTACAAAATAACAGGCCTGTTCCCTTCAAAAATGTCTAAATTTAAAAAGATAAAGAAATGCTGAGAAACTGTTTCAAATTGAAAAGAGACTAAAAAGACATTACAACTATGTGCAATATGGGATCTGAATTAGATCTTGGATTGGGGGGAAATAACTCTAAAGCTTATTAATGGGACAACTAATAAAAGGTTGACTATGAACTATTAAATAATAGTCTTGTATCAGATTAGATAACAGTATTGTATCAATATAAAATTTCCTGATTTTGATAATTATTACTAGGTAAGAGAATATTCTTATCAGAAAATGTACACACTGAACTATTTAGTAAAAACATATCTTTAGTTTATTAAATCATTCAGAAAAAAATATGCATATATTACTTATGTGCATTATAGAGCGAAAGAGAGGAAATGATAAAGCAAACAACTGGAGAATTGGTAGTTAGCCTGGGGCAAAAAACAACTGGAGAATCTGGGTGAAGCGTGTACAGCAATTTCTTACACTGGTCTTACAACTTTTCTGTGAGTTTAAAATTATATCAAAATAAAAAGAACAGAGAAATTAAGGGAAACAACACAGATGACTTGACGAATTATAAGGCTGGTTTTCTTCCACAGAGTGGAATTTTTAAGATAATGCCTGAAAGTGATTAGAAAATTGAACAAACATAGATAAAGCAGTTCCCAAACTGTGTTCCTAGGGGCACAATTATACCACAATTAGTAGATTTGTCTAAGTTACAACAATAGCTAGGAGTTTTTTTTTTTCTTATAAAATTCATTTGGAAATAATTTTGTTCATCTGAAATTCACTTGAAACAGTTTGTATTTCTTTAAACAAATGTCTTGATAAATAGTTGAAGTAGAAAGTGAGACCTGCATGGTGAAAAAAGATGAAAACTTGTTTCTCTGGAGAAAAAGAAAAATGAAAGGGAAAGATGAAATGGGGAAGGGAGGAATAACAGCTACATGGTCAAGGCCACATAAGTGCCAATTCGACCATTTCCTAGGACCCTCCAAGTTTTCTCTCTAGAAATCATGGTTCACATGGAGTGTCTGTCCTGGAGTAGAAACAGGAGGTGAGTCTGAGTTTTGCATTCTGATTGACTTGGGAGAAGGAGAGATGTTTTGACAATGTAAATCCTTAAGGCATAGGAATCATGGGAAGATTTGACTTCTTTAGGACATGGAATGGGGTTCAAGGCAATCCTGTGTAGGTACTGGATGTGATAGTTTTCATATAAAAGGGAAATACCAAGCACTTTATATAGTAGTTCCGATTATATGTCTTACTATTAATAGTTTCTTAGTATAAGTCTTTATATCTTATTAATAAATGTGTTAATATACTCTTGTTACTCATAAATGCTGTGCCAAGCTAGGTGCAGTGGCATACACCTGTGGTCCCACCTACTCAGGACCATACCCCTCTTCTCATGCTCCAATCTGGGCAACACAGTGAGACTCTGGCTTAAAATACATACATACATGGTGGGGCACATTCAAGGTGGTTGCATGATGATGGGCTGATGCATGAGACCATGCGTGACTGAACATCAATGTACAGGTAGCATTTACCAACTAATCTTTTCATTGTTATTTATGATCTACATGAGAATCACTGGTTTGAGTAGGTGGATCTTGTCTTGTATTTTAAATATATGACTATCTTATCAGTAATAAAACAATAGAATTTTTCAAATTTATATAACTTCATATCATCTTCTGTTACAAAGTTTTAAAAGTGAACTAAATATAGGTAATTTCTTATAATTAACTTTATGAGACTTTAAAAAAAATTCTCAGCATCAGTCTGAGCATTACTCTATTTCACAGCCACCTCTCTTGGTTTTCCACAGTGACACTACAACCTTTAAAGTGCTGTATGGTCAAATAAGCTTAAGAAATACTGCCATACAGTGTCATTTTTACAGATATATGTTTAAAGAGCTAGGACTCAGAAAACACTATAATATATTTTATATCCTGACTACTTTCAAAAAGTATTTTTATTATTCAAATTATGGATGGTGCTTCGTAATGAATTATCCATTAGCCAACTGTCTTCCACTGCTAATCCCAATATAAATTAGATCACAATGTAAATTAGATCACAGATCAACCCCTTACAAGTTCTAATGAAATTCTTGGGACATGAAATAACTCCTACAAGGCTACTATAAATACAGATCAAGGGTACCAAAGGTGAAGTAGCAACATGAGAAACCCACAGGCTAAGAGGCATTACCCTGGGAGCAGTGCAAATTAAGGACACTAGCTGTTTTAAACAGTGCTACAATAATTAAATCATTATCAAATGCAAAATAGAAAACACATTGTCAAAACTTTGAAGACAGTAGGCAGATTAAATAAAATGCATACAAGTGAAGAATTCTCAGGGCTGGAGACACTTAGGACTATGAAGATAAATGAAGGCTTTCTCAACAAAGCAGGAGAGGATTTATGATCCTACTGTACTGTTGGGACCATAGCACCATTGAAAAGTGGATACCCAGCTGTCAGTTAAGACAGGAAGGGAATTCTGCAAATTTGGCAGCAATCCTTCAGCTGTGTCCTTAATACCCCTCTTGGAATCTGCTACAGTGTGATGTTGCTACAGAGCTCAAAGAGGTCATAGAGATACTCTATGAAAACCAGTAAATTTTTCCAAGAGAATCAAAATTGAACACATTGCTTATATAGAATGGATTCTGAAAAAAAAATATTTCAGGACTTAACCTAGATGAACTATCACACCCCAAATCAGGACTTAACCTGAAAGAACTATGACACCCAAATCCCTGCCCTCGGTTTTACTCACTAGGACCATATTCATTTACCCAGCTTCAAAACCTGGGTTATCTTCAACTCCTCTTTTCCCCTCACTTGCATCTCCTGTTAGCTGTCAAGCTCAGCAGATAATATTAGGTTGGTGCAAAAGTAATCACGGTTTTTGCCATTAAAAGTAATGGTGATTACTTTTGCATTAACCTAATACTTTTTTGTCTGAAATCCATTCCCTCCTTTTGACCTTCAAGGCCAGGGTTCTTATTCAGGTCCTTAGTTCCTCATACTTAGACTATTAAGATAATCTTCTATCCTCCCAATTTCTAGTATTTTCCCCTCTAATTCATTTTATGACTACTGTAAAATTCACCCTTCCAAAGCACAGTTTAAATCATACTGGTTCCCCTTTCAAAACATGTTCAGTTACTCCTCATGTTTCTAAACCAATATATATTCTTCAGCCTGGCATTCAAGACCTCAGTAATTTCCTGGCTGTGCTCCCACACCTCCTCCATGTCCAGATTCTTATCCACACCCTTTCATGGTCCTGCTTGCCTATCTCTTCTAACTTCTCTTTACCTCTGGATCTTGCCATGCACAAATCTCAATTTATTCAAATCTTATGTATTTTCCAGGATCTATATCAGACATTGCTCCCTCAAAGAAATCTCTTCCATCTTTCCCACTAGATGTCCTAATCTGCTTCTCTGAACTCTACCACATTTTTCTTGGCATCTGTTATGACCTGCTCTCTATTCTATTTATCTATTGTATCTACTATTATTTTTATTCAACAAATATTTACTAAGCCCTATGTGCCAGGCACTCTAAAGCATCAGGAACACAAGGGGAAATAAAACAACTATGACTCTCTAAATTAAATGCATTGAGTCAGAATTACCACTGGATCTTTATAGCGTACCACATAGTAGAAAGCTATAACAATTGTATCAAGATCCTGTAAGATACCTCATAAACATATAAAGTGCCATTCAGTTAAGATGCTTTGTTTTAAAACTATAATTCTATTAATAAAAAGGATTATTTTAAATGGGAAATTTGAAGAATCTCACAGTGTAATCTTTAAGCCCTTAATTAAAGACTTGTGCCTAGGGTAGCAAAAATAGAAGAAATATCAAATCTTTCCACTGAAAAATTTTAGAGCAAAAATTTCCATTTTTCTGAAGACATCTGTAAGTTTATCTGTTTAATAAATAAAAGAAAGGATAGGAGGAAAGAAAACCAGACTTTGTTATCAATGGGACTTTGAATGAATATGATTAATTGAATGAATGAATGAAAAGAGACTATGAGTTTTGTTTGTTTGTTTGTTTTTGCACCTATTATTTTAGAATCTCAGTAAAATCCTAAGAGGTTTGTGTGGGGGTAACATAGATGGGGATATGCATAGTGATCAGATAAAAAGATGGGAGAATATAACCATGAGATGAGCTGTATTAAATTATCACTAAAGAGAAAAAGAAGATGAGAGTTCCTTAATGCTCATATTCTCAACTGAACCACCAGGGAAGAAACTCTAGCAATTAAAAGATGGGAAAATTCTTGGCATACATTCCAGTTTTAAATAAGTATGCAAATTATTACATCTCAGTTTCAAATATCCCCACTATTCACAACTGCTGTCCAATGCCCCAGCCATAGTGCCCTCTCCCACACCTGTCCTGCTCTCATGGTCCCCTGTTTACCTCATATGCATCTTTGATGTTCAAGGGCTCACCAAAAGCTGCCACATGTCCCACAATGCCTTTGTTCCATTCTAAGCGGATACAGTTATTTGAAGCTTCTTCCAGTGTTGAACCTTCAGCAACATCAAAGAGGCGGCTGATAAGAAACTTGTCATTGGAGCTGTCTTCACAGACAAGGAACAGGGAATAGCGGTCAGCGGAAATGAGTCCATGGATATGCAAGAAAATTTTGTGACATAAGGCTGTTACATCCAAATGACTAGAAATATCCTTCACTAATTCCAGGAGTCTTGAGCACTGGTCCCCTTCATCATGATCAAACCTTGGGGGGGTTAGAGGCATCTGTTCCTTCTTTTCTGAGTCAGAGAGAAAGCTCACAGTTCCCTCAGAATCCTTGACAACAATGGGTCTAAGAGGCCGGTCAAATTCAGAGGCAGAGATTTTCCTGGTTGGTGTTCCAGGGGCACTGTTATCTGCACGAGGACTCTGCTGCAAGGGACAAGAGCAAGATTCGGTGTGGCCTCTGATACCTTCCTTGCACACAGGGATGGTGTGAACTCTCTCAGCAAACCATGCATTGACCATTTCTCTGCAGAACAGAACATGCAGACACATTAGATACTTAAGGAGGAAGGGTGCTATGCCTAAAAGCTGCTAAAAATCTTCTCATGGTAAACTGATGAGACAATAATTTGATATGTCATAGAAAATAAAAACAGAAATCTTAAAGTGTAAGATAGTTTACTTAAGACATAATTTTGGCCAGGCACAGTGGTTCACACCTGTAATTCCAGCACCTTGGGAGGCTGAGGTTGGAGGACTGCATGAGGCCAGGTGTTGGAGACCAACCTGGGAAAGCTAGTGAAAAAATTCTGTCTCTAGGAAAAAATTAAATAATTAGCTGGGCATGATAGCATGTGCCTGTGAACCTAAGTACTCAGGAGACTGAGGCGGGAGGATTGTTTGAGCCCAGGAGTTAGAGGCTGTGGTGAGGTATGAGCACACCCTTGCACCACTGCACTTTAGCCTGGGTGACAAAGTCAGACTCTCTCTCAAAAAAAAAAAAACAAAAAGACAATTTTATTTTGAAAAACAATAGACAACAATTGCTTCAATGAACATCTTAATAAAGGAGGACTTCTATATACATAATTTTATATATATATATATATATTTGAGTGCAGCATGCCAAGCATTAAGTCCGCTTCTCCCCAAATAAGTTTATATTAAAAAGTAAAAGACACTAAATATGTCAATCGTTTTAGGAAAACATAAATATTGATGTTAATTTGATGTTTAAAACACACAACTTGCTCTGAAATTAAATATATTTGAAAACTAAAACAAATATTTGTCTAAATTTGTCTTGCTAATATGGCTATTTTAGATAGTTATATCTATATTGCAAAAGTAGATAAGATTTAGAAGGTTTCATGAAAAATATAAATAATTTAATCTTCTGTAGAAAAATCAGACTTCTGTAAATATTATCCCAATAATGTTTATTTAATAATGGCAAAAAAGATCTCTTTTTCTAGATTATCTACAACTATTTTAAAATAGGCTTTAACTAAGTTTAAAAATGCAGTCCAAGAAAACTGAAGGCATTTATGTTTTTAACATACACTTCTATGAAAGAAACCCATTTGCGCTAAAGCCTTCACAGTGGGTGACTTTTTAAAACAAACATACCAGACCCTACACAATCCAAAGCATGTTTTTCAATCCAAACAATTCCCCTTGGAAAGCTGTCACCTTATACCAGTTATAGGTGTCATTAGCTAGATATTTTTAGAACTCTTCTTTTGAAACAAATTTCTGAAATGATTTATAATCCAAATAAAAATACTAATGTTATCTAAAAATTAGGTCTTATTTCTCTCTCCACCTCCCAAAATGAACAAATAAAACAAAACCAAAAAAACCTATGGTAACAGCTAATTTAATTCTCTATATTATCATAAGCCTTGACCTCTTTGAAAACTCAAACTTGGCTTCAAGAGACAAAAACTTGCTATAACTGAGGATATTTCAAATAATTTTCCTATAATAAAAGCAATGCAATCTCAAATCTACAATGACATAATTGATTGTTTATATCAAATAAAAGGCCAGGATAAAAAAGCTTGACAATGTACTATTTTGGAGAAAGTAGAGGGATATAGTCACTCCCCAGTGTTTTTGGCTGTAATAAAAATTGGTATTACTTCTTTGGAGGACCGAGTAGGCAATATCTAACAAATTTTAAATGTATATATTCTTTGTTCCAGAGATTTTGCACATGTGGCAAAGGAAATACAAGGGTATTTACTATATACAGGAAGTACTGTTTGCTATAGCAAAGAAGCAACCTAATATCATCAATAGAAGGCTGACTAAATACATCATGGTACATTTATACAAGGGAACACTAGGCAGACATTAAAACATGAGTATATGTACCGATAGGTATAATACAGATTAATTAAGTAAAAAAAGAAGATGCAAACGAGTTTGAAAAGAACACACTGTCTTATTTCTGAGTCTTTACTAAGTCCTTCATATATGGGATGTTCCCCTAATTATTTAATTTTAAACAATGATATATTATTTGTGAACTATACATTACCCTGAAATGATAACCCCTCTAGAATACAATGGGTTAAAATGAAAAGATAGAAATATTACCTCCCTTATAATTTCAAGAGTTGGATACAGTTATAAAAGTCTTTAAAAAGTTTAGGAGAAATACGTTCAAGAGATCCGCTGTAAATATGGTGACTATAGTTAATAATAATGTATTGTGTATTCAAAAATTGCTGAAAGAGAAGACTTTAAGGGTTCTTACCACAAAAGATAAGTATGAGACAATGCATATATAAATTAGCTTGACTTAGCCATTCCACAATGTTACATCAAAACATGTTGTATACCTTAAATACGTAAAAATTTTGTCAACTAAAAAATAAATTTAAAAAAAATCCAATATGAGTAATTTAAAGAAAAACAACCTTGCTCACCTTATGAATCAATTGACTTTATGATAAAGAGGTATTACAAATTTGAAGAGGCACAAAAGCAATGTGGTAGGTAAGTGTATTATAGAAATCACAAGTATATGCCTATACAGGTTTTAAAAACTATATAATTGTCCTAATATTTTATAGATGCATGCTGTGACTCAGGACAAAAGTTTCCAGTGAGGACAACATACATTAATTAAGATAATTCAGTATCTCAAAACCTTAGAAGTGAAGGTGATGCACTCTGGAATTTGCTTACGTAGCCCCAACATTACACTAACAGTGCCAAAGACACTGTTGCTAAAAATGCATGTGGAGCTTCCAGAAGTGTATAGGAATCTTTCAAATAAAATTGTTTTTTAGAAAAGATAAGACAGGAAAAAATCAATATTTCTAAGTCAACATATCTGATGTGATCTTAAATATGGACATGTTACTAAATTAATAAATCAATATAAAAATAGGTATTTTAACAATTTCAGCGACATACCTAAAACCTAAAACTTAGCCCCAATTTATTTCTTATCTTCTTAATGGGAAATTGAGATCTTCTTTTTTTTTTTTTTTTTTTTTTTGAGATAAAGTCTTGCTTGATCTTGTTGCCCAGGCTGGAGTGAAATGGCACGATCTCGGCTCCTCCTCCAGGTTCAAGTGATTCTCCACCTCAGCCTCCCAAACAGCTGGGATTACAGGCACCTGCCACCACATCCAGATAATTTTTGTATTTTTAGCAGAGACGAGGTTTTGCCATGTTGGCCAGGCTGTTCTTGAACTCCTGACCTCATGTTCTGCCTCCTCGGCCTCCCAAATGAGATCTCCTTTTGAATTTTAAATTAAACTGCCTACTTGACAATTCCATGTGGATGTCTAGACACCTTAAAATGGTGAAAACAGAATTCCTAAGACCCTACCCATTTTACCTTGTCTCACCTTACTCCCTGCCTATTTTCCCACATATGGAGTACCATCTCCACGGTTACTCAAACCAAACACGTAGGAATTACTCTAAATTTCTGCTTCCTTCAACTCACATTCAGCTGCACAGTCAAGTTCTACCAATCTGACTTCCAAAATCCTGTATCCCAATCTGTTTATTTCTATCTCCATTACTACCCCGCTGGTCCAAACCCTGCCATCTCTCACCTGAATTATTGCCATGGTCCCCTAACTGATCTCTCTGATCCCATATTTACCCCCTTGCAATGCATTCTCCACACAGCAGCCATAGCAAACTTATAGCAAAGTATGTTAACATCTTAGCTACCCTACTTGGCTTTTCGTTGAACTGAGAATAGAACCTGAGCTCTTATAATCCCTTATAATTAGGTTCCTCTCACCCATGCCAGCATCCTTGGCACTCCTGAAGCACACCAAGTTCTAACTGCCCAATCTGGAATACTCTCCTCTCATTGGCATGTGGCTGATCAGCTTCCACATCCCCTGCTCAAACAGGTCATCTCTGACAGCTCCACCTAAAGTGGTCCTGACACATCATGTTCTTACCCAACATTATTTAAATTCTCACTATTTGCTATTTTTCTTGTTTATCAATCTGTTGTTAAATCATCTATCCCCTACGACTAGATGTAAATTTCATTAGTGCTACGTGTTCACTGCTGCATCTCCTGTACTTAGATGAATGCTTATCACATACAGTAGTAGGTCCTCAATAAATATTTCTTGAATAAAGTAAATGAATAAATAAATGAAGGCTCCTGAAGCATCAAAAGGCACAAGAGTCTTTTGAATATCTAAATGCTGGTGTGTTTGTTATAGAAAATCAGCCTAGTGTTTTAACAATTACTGTTCATCACCTCTTGGATGTGTAAGTCTCATAACTGACCAGGACTAATTTATGTTTGTATATCCTGCAGTGCCTGATGCAGCATATGTCTTAAGCAGAGCCAGTGCCTAAAAATTCTATATTATGTGTTTTTGACTACTCCATTTGCCTCATAAATGTTGCTTATGGATATTTTCTTAGAGGCATTAACTCAATATTAGATGACATAGGAAAAGCAGATGTAGTATATTCAGTCAGTCAATCAACAATTTGTATTAACCACCAGTAATAGGGAAAAGGAGTTCTCATGAACACATTATTGATTATCTGAGTCCCTGTATTACATGCTTGCATAGGAAAACATGTTATCATTACATCAAAATTACTGATGAACCAACCACAAATAAAACTAAATCATTTCTCACACATCTTTCCCTTTGAGCATTCCTTGAAGTTCTGCAGTACACAGTCTACATGGCCGAATGAAGTGGAGTGGACCTTTGCTCTTGAGACTAATAGCTACTAATGTGATTATAAATACTCCGCTGATTTTTAAAAATACTTCAGTCTCTATGCAAATGAAAATCACCTGCAAATAGAAATTAAAATTCTTATATAAGATACATGCTATGTTTTAAACGTACAAAATTCATCTCTTGAACCCTAACCCCAAAGGTTAGGAGTTTAGGAAGTAGGGCCCTTGGGAGGGCTCTGCCCTCATAAATAGGATTAGTGCCTGATGTAGTTTGGATGTCCCCTCCAAATCTCCTGCTGAAATGTAATCCCCTGCTGAAATGTAATCCC